AATTCATTCTGATATTTGATGTTGCAAAATTCCTTGGCATTCTTGATTTTCTTATTTCTTCTCTACTTTTTCTGGTTAAATTCCTAAAATTATCTTTACAGAAACACATTTAAGACATTTTAAGGTCTCTATATTTCCTAATGGCTTACCATAAAAAATGTTATCAATTTATTCAAAAGTGTCCAAGAGTATCTTTTCCCCTATATCTTGGCTGACATTGTCTATGATTTACCATTATATTGTCAGTTTTATCATGGAAAACTTATGCAGTGTTTAAATACAAGCAATTTTTGCTTGCCAGTGACTTTAAATATTTTATATGTTTATAGGTCTTACAAATGCATTTATAGATAGTTTTTTATTGCCCTAGCCAACATTTTATTTTATTATTGTTTTTCTATTGATGTTAACTCTTTATATAATAATTGTTCAATACATGTGAGCCACATGCTTGAAAAGCTATTCGCTGCATATTTGTAAATGTTCTTTATGTTATAGAGAAGTATTTATTTGTACAGTAAAATTTATAAGCATTTTCTTTTTGGTTAAAAAAATATTGTTGAGCCCTGTCTATGGGCAAGAGACCTGTGTCCAGGGCCCCTTGCCCCCAAAAACCCTTCAAGTATTTATTCTCCAGCATAACATTTTTCTGCTAGTAAAAACATTTTCTTTCAGGAATTGGCTAAAAGCTGTTTGCATAAACACTTCCCTATGTGAATTGAGCCTACAATCATCTTGCTCTTACTTAGGATTTCTGCAGAGCTTATGCACACCTCAAGCATGCCAATTCATATTTGGTTCTGGGGTCTATTCTGGGACTCCTGACATGAATACAAGCAAGGATGTGCTCCCTAAAGCAGGGGATGTGTCTCGAATGCCTCTTCAATCCTCCTACAGTGTGGAATACACTGCTGCTTCCGCATCATTGAGCAGCAGTCCTTAAGAGGGTGGAGTCTGGAATTCGATCTTTGCAGACTTGAGTTTTAATGCTGGCTCTATAACCTATAAGCACTGTAAGAAAGGTATTCAAGCTGTCTATCTCATGTGTCCAGTGGGGATACTACCCATTTTACAGCGTGTGATGGTTAATTTCAGGTGTCAAGGTGGCTTCCTTAAGGAATACATCAGGAATTGGTAAAGCATTGTTTCTGAGTGAGCCTGCAGGTATTCCCAGGAAGATTGGTGTGAGCTGATGGACAGAGTGAGGAAGATGCCTTTAGTAGAGACAGGCCCCATCCAACTCTCTGAGGGCCGGATAGAAGAAACAGGGCAGAGGAAAGGCACTTTCCTCCGTATCTCTCCTGGAGCTGGGACCCTTCTTTTCCTGCCGGTAGACACCAGAACTTCAGGCTCTTTTTATACTGAGAGTTACACCATCCACTTCCCTGCTTCTGAGGCTTTTGGATGTGGACTGAGTCACACTCCTGGCATTCCAGGGGGTCCAGCTTGCAGACAGCCTTTCCTGAGACTTTTCACTCTCCAGTTCCCCTAATAAATCTCCTGTCGTCCATCTTTGCTGATACCCTGTTGGTGGTGTCTCTCGAGAGCCCCGATTAATCCATAGGGGTGATGTGAGAGAGCAATGAGGTCATGCATGGGGAGCATTTCACAGCCTGCCTGACACATGTCCACGTCCTATAGGCTGCAGCTGCAGTTATTCTAGAGCTTACTGTCAGGGTTCAAAACAGTGGAAGTCCTTCCCTCTGGCACCCAGACATCGTGTTGATCTTCTCCTGTCATTTTTCAGTTCCAAAGTGTTTTTTGAGAGCAATTCTGTGTGCCAGGTAACATTGATGAGGGGCTAAAATCAATCCATACATGTGGGAATCTGAAGTTGGGAATGAGCCAAGGTGGGAAAGTTCTCAGGAGTCAGGAGCAGAGGAAGCTGCATGGTCAAGGGGAATCGACATGGGCCTTCCTGCCGTGTGTTCTGTTTCCTGCAGTCTAATGAGAAAGAGACATATGTATGTGTACAGTATCTCATGCTTAGCTCTTTAATACGTACAAGGTGTTTTAAAAATTTCCCACCAACTGTCCTTGACAGCTGAGAACCTCAAGATTACCTGTTGTTGGTGACTGTTGTCAAGGGGATCCGCCCTTTAGGGACACAGGAAGATTCGCCTAAAAACGTCAGGAAGCTTGATATATATTATTTTGTTATAAAAGGCAACTACTGTTTTGCTGCTATATTACTCCTTTACTCATTCCACTGCTTATTTTAAGCCTGAGCTTGTGGGTAGCTGGAGAAGGAGGGAAAATATTTAAGACTCTTATTGACTAATTTAACTGTGTATTTAATATGTAGAATAAAGAAAGACTTAAATGAAGATGTATTATTTGTGAGTGCTCCAACAAACTAAAAGATTATTTACATTATTGATTTCTGGTTAAACCACTTATTGTCTATAATGAATTAAATGTTTGTGAAAATAAATTCAGTGACCTTTTGCATCTGTAATTTCAAAATCGTAGTAATTTTTCAAAGCTGAAAATGCCTGACACACCAGTCTGCCAATCATCACAATAAAACATGAAGCCCCAGTGAAAGAGCTAGTCAGGATGCATTTCCAGCAAATAGCAGTTGAAGCTCCAACTGCTATCAAATGATGAAAAAAACATGGTGTAAGAGCCCTAGATAATTTTTTAAATGCCAAAAGAATCATCACAGACTGTTTTGGCTTGCAGAGCTTGAATGGCAATATGGCATTAAAATAAGGTGCACGAAATTAATTCTTGAATGTAATTTTGAAACACACTGCTAAAGTGCTCCCTAATATACACCAAACCCAAAAGTGACCACTGACAGACTCTATTTCAGTTTTTATGCTGTCATTATGGAAAAACTATAGCAGAAAGTGCACCAACTTCCCTTTGGAAAGAGACATACAACCGTGACCAATAGGCTTTCCTAAAAGACAGCAGGAGCTTTTCATTCGGACTTGTTTCCCGTCCATAACATACAAATAGTTATTGTTCACGGTCAATACAGCCTTGCAAATACACAGGCTTTGAGTTATACCAAGCATGCTCATTCTTATATAGTATGTCCACATACAAAATACAAAAGAAATATACCACAAAATGATGGTGTTCAGGACATGGGGCAAGGCCCTGTTTCTGTGGTACAGCGTAACAAATGAAAACTGCCTATAAAGCCAGTGCTTTACATTCCACACCCTTACTACATGGAAATTCATGTTTCCATAATCACATAAAACTTTAATGTGCTATTCATCATAAGATTAAACGGTATGAGTTATTCTGTCCATGTAATTATTAACAACTGGAAATTAAATTGTGATTTTTTTTTACTTTATTCTTTTTAAAATGATAATTTTCTTTCTCCTTTTGCCTGAGAACCATGCTTCAACAATCATAACACCTTACCTTCTAAAATAAATGATCACAAATAGAATATATATTTTATATATGATATATAGTTATATTTACACATTATATAAAAATATAAATATATTTTTATATTTTATATATGTATTGATAAATTTATATAAAATATAAATATTTATATATAATCTATATATGAAATCTAGCCATATAAACATAAATATATAAAAAAGATATATAAATATACACATATAGACATTTATATACAAATATATAGAGATAAATATAAATCATATATATATATATATACATACACACATTAGAAATACACAGGTCTTTTCTGTATAAAGACCTGTGTGTTTATATAAAAACCCATGTATATAAATATTTATAAAAATATATTTTATATATATACACATTAGCAATACAGTAGTAGTAAATTCTACTATATATAGAAAAGACTTGTGCATTTATATAACTATATATGAATGTAGATTACACATATAAACATTACAAATACACAGGTCTTTTCTACACATAGCAAGTTCTATATTATTCTCTCATTGCAATGATGGACAACTGGATATTGAATAGTGAAAATTTTTGTAGTTTATTCTTCTTAAAGTGGTAATTTTCTTTCTCTTTTTGCCTATGAACCATGCTTCAACAATCATAATGCCTTACCTTCTAAAATAAATTATATATAACATATATGTTTTATATGTATATAATATAAATATTTCTATATATAATCTATATGTAAATATAAAGAAGTTAATATATAGTAGGTTTTAGTATATATAGAAAAGACTTGTGTATTTCTAATGTATATAGACATTACCTGTATTATATAGACATATAATCCATATTTGTATTTATATATTTTATATATAAATATATAATCTATATATTTGTATATAATACAGTTGTATATTATTTTTTATTTACTTATATATTTATATATAGTAAATTCTATATATAGAAAAGACCTGTGTATTTCTAATGTATGGAAATATGAAATGTACTTTTTGTCTCCTCAATTGCAAAAATAAAACAGCTTTTTTCAAATAGATAGATTTTACTCTACTTTGAATTTTTCTTCTTTATATTAGATTGTAGGGGGGGGGACGCTGAAAGGAAGGAGGATTCTTCCATCGGTTTCTATGAAAGAAGAGGTACTTTAACAATGAAACCTAAATAGGTAGAATCTGATTCTTGGTACTTGGTGTATGAGTTAGCAAGATTGCATGAAGAAAGAAACCTTACAAGAAGCAGAGTCATCCTGTGAAGAGGAAATTTGTCTCCAGTGCTCAGCTGTGATGCAGTCCTTATCCTCCTGTCCGGCTGTGACCTGTCCCTCTGACATCAACCTCGCAGGACCCCACTTACTACTCCTCCGCACACCACCCATTCTTCCCTCCTCCCCACACACCACCTCTTCCTCCCTCCCTCTCTCCCTCCCCACACACCACCTCTTCCTCCCTCCCTCCCTCCCTCCCCCCCCACACCACCTCTCCCTCCCTCCCTCCCCCACACACCACCTGTCCCTCCCTCCCCCCGACCCACCAACTCTCCCTCCCTCCCTCCCTCCCTTCCTCCCCCACCACCATCAGAGAACAGAGTCACTGGGATCATTTTGCAACACATTGGATTTATTGACATCAGCATGGGGGCGCCCCCCCCTCCACGTGCTGGTGAGACCTCCGCGGTCTCCTGGTGGCTGGGCCTGAACTTAGTCGCTGCTCTGGGATGCGGTACTGGAGATGGTGATCACGTCACTCAGCGGATCCTCCAGCTGGGTCTCCTGGCTCAGTGGGTCGTGCTCGCTTACTGGCTCCTCGTTCACAGGCACCTCGCACGGAGGAAGCTCCTGGCTCGGCGGCTCGCTGGGCCAGGGTGGTGCTGGCCCGCTCCCTGCCTCAGGGGTTCCCACGGCTGCCATCTTTTTCCCAGTGGCACGTTTCTTCCTGCCTCTCCCTCCAGGACCCGCTTTTCCTCTCTTCCCCGCCTTGGGCGCCTGGAAGGACAACAGGGAGATCACAGTGGGGCTCTGTCCGGGTCAGGGGAGAGGATGGAAGAGGCTGGGAACAGGGACATTTCCTGAGAAGCGGCGAGGGCCGGGCTGGGGGTTGTGCCAGGTGAGGACAGGGCAGGAATCTTGAGGAAGGAGTCAAGGGGAAGACGAGGAGGAGCTTGGGTGGGTCGCTCACCTTCTTCGGGGTACTGGGCCTGGCCTCAGAGGAGGACTTCCTCTTTCGCGTCTCCCTGGCCTTGGCCGGTGGTCCCGAGGCTCTGGTCTTTGGGGCCATCTTGCTCAACTCAACGTCTCCAACATCAACGTCAGGCTGTCTGGTCTACGTGTACGTGTACGTGCCCCTCGCGGGATCCCGGGCCAATGCGGCGACCACGTCCCTGAGCTTTGATTGGTCAGCATGCCGCCACCCAGCCAATGGTAGCCCTGGGCGGGAAGGACGGGCTTAGACGTCACACAGCACCATCAGGACATGGCCGAGGAAGTGTGTGTGTGGGGGGGAGGGGTGGTATTTGATGAGGAAGGCAGGACGCTGTGCTTGGAGAAAGGGAGATTATGGTTAGCACTCCTAAAGATAGTTCCCAAACTGACATGTCACCCCTCTTAACCTCCCCATGTTCAATTTTGGCAGATCACGTGGCACGGGAGGGTGTTTCCTCCAGATGTTTCCCCAGGACCCCCCATTCAGTGGTACATTCTGTTCCCTCACACCTTCCATCATTACCCAGTTTCTGTACGACCTACCTGAAACCCCTCCATGCTGACTGGGACAGGTGTAAGGCTGTATGAAGATGTCAATCATCTCTCTCTCCTACAAATTCCTCTGCTGCACCTTGAGGACCATTCACTTCTTGGATGCCATGAAAGAACTTATCCATCTCTTTTCCTTCTACCAGTGCCCACATAGTGCCCCTAAATGTTTAATTCTCATGGTTTAAAGCACTGGCTTCAGGGGGTCAAGATCAGCAAACACACTCTGTCTGCTGCATATCTGTATCAACCTGGGTTCCTCAGAGGAGGAGAAACTAACCCAACAGGATATTTGTGTGTGTGTGTGTGTAATAGTATATATCATAAACATCTATTTACTATCATATAGTATTTATGAATAATATTATATATATGATATGGTTTACTCTAATGAATTGCCTCACACATTCACACAATCTGGAGGTCTAGGAAGCGGAAATAAGTAGAGTAAGTGGGCAGCCTGGAAACTAAAAGCTTCTGCACAGTGAACAATCAACAAAATGAAAAGCCAGGCTATGGTTTGGGAAAAACTATTTGTGAACCATGTATCTAATAATGAGTTAATATCCAAAATATATAAAGAACTCACACAACTCCCTATCAAATAAATAAATAGTGTGGTTCACAAATAGGCAAAGGACTTGAATAGGCATTTTTCGAAGGAAAACCCACGAGCGGCCGACAAGTATATGAAAATGTGCTCAACATCATTAATAATCAGAGAATGCAAATGAAAACCACAATTAACTATCACCTCACACTTGCTAGGATGTGAATTACCAAAAAGTGAAGAGATAAAAATTAATGATGGCAATGGTGTGGAGAAAATGAAACCCTTTTAGGGTGTGCATAAAAAGGGACCTTTATATGCTGTTGACAGACATGCAATTGGTACAGCCGTTATGAAAAACAGTATAATGGCTCTTTGGAAAATCAAAATAGATCTGCCATATGACCCAGCCGTTCATCTGTTGAGTATGTACTCCATCTCCAAAATGAAATCCACATCTCATAGAGATAGCTCCAGTACTAACTAATTCTAGCTCATGAATCACACAGAAAATTAGAGTTTCTATTTGAAAAGAATTTTTTTCACCATCCTGGTATCAAATATTTGTTCTATTCACCTCTTCTTATTTCTTGGTTTGCAATAATCTAGGTACTACTACTCCCTGAAAGAACTAATTCATTGTTCCAACAAGAAATGAGAAATATTGAGAAGAATACAATGTTATACTTCTTGCCTTCAATCAGTTATTCTAGGTTTGTGGAGGGTTCTGTACTTAAACTCTCACCCAGGTAACTCTGGTTACCATATCCATAGTACCTTGTCAACAATCCTAAAAAAGCAAGAACACAGAATTGACTAGAATGGTTACTAAACTTTCTATGTTCAACCAGTTTTCCTAGTAATTGCCAGTTGTTTATTCAACTGTTTGCCTAGGTACTACTAAATGTCCAGTTTTATGTCACTAAGACATAAAAAGTAGTATTGGGAATAATTTGCTTATTCCAAGTTCTGACTTCATCTAGTTATATCTAGTTAATTACTCACTTGGATAAAGTAGACATCTACTGTCTGAGGTAATTTTTCTAACGTGAGGTTGGAATTTTGCATTGAGGAAAATGGTTATTCAACTCCCTGGCATAGACCCGTTATCTTCAGCTTCCTGGGATCAATTACTTGGTTGAGCTAATTCTAACTGTCTTTAGGTTTCTAATTACATGTTTACCACCAGGTGTCTGTGGCAATTTATTATTCCAACAAAAACAGTAGAATGATAAGGAAGGATTTTGCTTTTTCCTGGCATCGCATAGGTATTCAAGTTATCTCTAGTTATCCTTTGTAACTTTTTTCCTAAGTAACACTCAGCAACTATCCTTCAAAGTTCTTATCCCAACTAAAACCAATATTTGAGAGTTGCAAAGAACACAATTTTCAGGATCAGGTTCACTTGGTATTGTAATGACTGTTAGCTGTTTCTATGTAACAAGTTTCATGGGAAACTTGTTAAGCAGAACTTACATATTAACTCAACAGCAACAGAATTATATCTGACCACACTACATTCCCTATGTTCTACATTCCACTGAACTCTTCTTGTTGTCTCTATTTTACTACTTATTTAGGTGCATGACTTACCTGTAGTGTTCATTCATTATTCCAACAATAACTCAGCAGTAAGTGCTGAGAAGAAAGTAGTATCCTCTTTACTACTTGTAAGCATGCAGTTTCAGTGGTAATAAACACATTTATATTATTTTATTTCCCCTTAATCTCCTCCTTTCCCTTCTACCCTCTGGTAATAATCACTATAGTTGCTATCTTCATGAGAACCACTTTTTTTGTTCCCATATATGAGTGAAAACATGCAATATTTGTCTTTCTGTGCTTGGTTTGTTTCATTTAACATAATGGCCTCCAGTTCCATCCATGTTACCACAAATGACAGGATGGCATTCTTCTTATGGCTGGATAATATTCCATTGTCCAGCACCACATCTTCCTTATTCATTTGTTCATTGATGGGCACTTAGGCTAAATCCATATTTTGGCTACTGTGACTTGTGCTGCAATACACATGAGCATGCAGATATCTCTCTTTGGTGTACAAATTTATTTATTTCTCTCTCTCTTTCTTTTCCTAGCAGTAGAATACTTGGATCTTATAGTAGTTCTATTTTTAGGATTTTGAGGAACTCCATACTCTTCTCAACAGTGGCTGTAGTAATTTACAAACTTGAGAAACTGTGACAGTGTTTTCCAAAGCCACCATATCATTTTGCATACCCACCAGCAGTGTATGAGCATTCTGATTTCTTCACATCCTCTCCATCACTTGTTATTACCTGATTTTTTTACTCTAGCCATCTTTGTGGATGTGAAGAGATATCTCATTGTAGATGACGAATTATTTAGAGGCTAACACTCAGTTGTGTGTTGAAGAATTTAGTCAAGGCTAAGTATTCATGAGGCCAGTGAAATGCATCCATTTAGCTGCACAGTGAAAAGAGAGTATTTGCAAACAAACAGACAATAAAACAAGTTGAGCCCAGACATTCCCAACCACACTTTGAACCCTTCACTTTGGCCAAGTATCTCATAATGCATCGTTGTTGTCTCACATAGCCTGACTGGAAGACAGCATGGATGATCCTTTGTAAACTTATTGACATTGTTGTGATTTGAAGTTCTTGCCCCACCATGTTTGGTTAGCAGCAGCAATTCCATCTGGGAAAGAGAGAACATTTTGCTTGTTTTGCTGATGGTTTAACCATCTGTTGAGAGAGAGAACCATCCTTCACCTCTTTGGCAGTGTCTAGTTGATAAAGAAAAAATCCTCATAGTTCTGTTTTCTAAAATAAATTTGTGTTACAAAATGTTTCAGACTGAGAATGAGAATAATTTTGGGAGTTCCCAGGCAATTCAGTATTCCAAATTAATTTGAGATCTATGTCACCACCATGAAATATGCACATTTGTCAAAGACATTAAGACTCTACTACTCAAGGCTTTCACCTGACCAATATCTCACCTCCCCTAATACAGCTCCCATCAAGAGGCAAGCTTGAATTACAGATATTTATTATTTTCCTCATCCTTTCCATGGAATAACTATGTAAGGAAATAATGTAGTGGACCTAGGACTTTAAAAATAGTGATTACTGTGATATGGGCTGTTAATATTGAATATGTCATTGATAGTAATGATGATGATGACGATCATCAGGACACAATTTGTCAGAGTATTGAGCACTTCCCAGCTGGCTTTAATACTTGAGCATCAAGGTTTTTACTCTGGAGACAGGACACTGGATAATTTTAATAGTACCCAACTCACCATGACAACCACTGTCTCTTGCCTACCCATTCTGTATATCTCCTTCTTTTTTATAAATGGACCTCAAGTTCGCTCAGAAAAGTAATGAGACTGATTAAACCCATCAATGCCCCTGGATTCCCTTGCTGCTTTGGGCGGCTGAGACTGCAAGCTCTTTAATATAAAAAGACAAAGATATATTTGCAAGACCTTCACTCCTTTGCTCTTTCTCCTTTTTTCTGGACTATGGATCTTGAAGCATGGAGTTGTTGTACTATCTTGCAACCACAAGGTATGAGGACGAAATCCTGGAGCCTAGGGATGTGGTTGCTTCAACTTTGGGAAAAGAGGGGATGAGCCTAGCTACCTAAGGGTATCATTGAGCCATGACGGCAGCTCACAGCTAAGCACTGAAGCTGGAGTAATGTTGATTTTCTGTTATCTGAAACTGAATGCAATTCTGTCTGATACTCTCTTTCAGCTGCAGGGATCTGGGGATTGTTTTACAACTCAGTACATTGACATATCCCACATTTGTCTCTGTGATATTCAGAAGTCAAGACCACTTTGAAGAGATGTGCAATGAAAATGGAATAGAGAATGGAACAGAATTCAACTATTGAAGTAGTCTTCATGATGACTCCAGACTTCTAACAGGAGGCGCCAGGTAAGTAGTATATTCCTTATCAAGCTAGGGAAACTGGGAATGGTGAAACATAATAATAAGATGAAAATAAAGGATTCACATTTGGACATAATGAGTTGTGAGACACATACTTGCAGAAATCAAGGAGGAAGTAGGAGCTCAGAAAATGGATCTGAGGAGAGTCAATGCATACATCATCAGCAAGGTGATGAGGAACAGCTGAGATTATCCATGGAGACTCTATGGAGAGCTGAGAGTACCCACCACACACCCACAGCAAGTCCAGCATTTAGAAACTGATTAGAGGAGG